GGGGGTAAGGAGCAAGGGCTCCTGGACTATGAGAGTGATGTCTGACTCCTGGCTTAGGCAGTCAGACATCCCTCTCGCAGGAAGTGGGCCTAAGCCAGCAGGCGGACATCCCCCAAGCGGTCCTGGACTGCAAGAGGGCGCAAGTGGGCTGAGGGACTCCTGCCGACCCCACCCCCCTCAAGTGCATGAATTTTTGTGCACGGGGCCTCTAGTTACATAAAAGGCTAACATGCAAAGTGTCCCCTTGGGAATTCGGGGAGAACGGGAGTTCAGTCGCTCACTATGACATGCACTGACCACCGGGGGCGGCGCAGAACACGGTGGGAGACCAGCAGTGGGTGGGGGGTGGAGGGGGCGCTGAGGGAGCGAGGGAAGGAGGAGGCAGGGAACCTGATCAGCCCTGATCACTGGCCAGGAATAGGGACCCTACCTATGCATGAATCTCGTGCACCAGGCCTCTAGTCATGACATAAACAGATGGGGAGAGGGAAGGCATGTACTTTGAGGGGGAGACTTATGTCCCTGAAAATATGGCAGACAGACGCTCTAAGTACATTTTTGGAACAAACCTGGACAGAGTTTATTTTTAAGCTATAAATAGATAGCTGAGCTACCAAGAAAATAAGGGATTCCTGGGGCACAAACAACCAGAATGCATAAATCCAGAAAGTTAACAGGACAGCTACCTGTCAGTTACACCAAGGACATCTATTAACCCCTCCTAGCCTAATTTCTGAGCTGAGTTTTCACAGGGTGGAACTTTGATTAAGACCCAGAAAGAAAGCCCAGAACCCAAAAGGTGGCCCCTCAGTGAAAGGGAGAAACTGACAAAAAACCCTGCCTCTGAGACTCTGCACGTGCCTATGTTTGCAGGGAGGGGTGTGGAGTTGGCACAGGGCAAGGTCTTCTTGGAGAACCATGTCCACAAGCTGTTGGTCCAAAAAGACTGGAACAATTCACACGACCTGTGTGACTGGGAGAAACACAAGCCAGGAATTTTAGGCAACCCTAGTTGGCAGTGGCCTCAGGTACCCGACAGAAGCCAGCACAGACTTTCTGGAAGAACACATGGAACCCCAGGCCTCAAGCCTCTCCATAAAGCTCTAAGACTCACGAGGCCACAATCCGTGAACAGTTGGAGAAACAGCACTGTGATGAGAATCAGTAGAAACTAGAAACCAGTCAGACTTGGGAAGACTGATTATCAGATGCAGAAGAGAGGAATATGTTTGAAGAACCACAACAAGGAATCAAAATGGGACCGAGGATCAAGAGACTTCAGAAGTGACCAAGCAGATGGGAACAACCCAAACAGCGGTTAGGAAACATTTCGATTCCTGTAGCTTTCGCACTTCATGCTTTCGCCCTGTTTCTGCAGCTTTTATCCTTTGCCTCTTGCTCCTTGGCCAGTGCTGTCCTACAGCCCCTTTCCCTGCGCCCTTGGGCGAAGCTGCCCCCCCCCCCCCCCCCCCCCTCAGCCTGCAGGACTGCTTGCCTCTGGCAACACTTTCTGTCCTTTTCCTCGTTCTCCGCTGACAGTCAGCCTTTCCCCCAGTCCCATGACCACTGCACACCCACAGCAATCCCTTCGCTTTTTGTTCCAAGTCTTGCTCTGATTCCTTTTCCCTCTCAACCTTGGGATCAAAATTCAGGCTAGGACAGTGAGTTACCACTAGTAATTATGGTAGCTATGGGGTCTCAGCCATCCCGTTTCATCCCTACGCTAAGGGAGGTATGGGAATTTGTTGGCAGCTTATGCAATTCTAGTTTGACCAAAAGAACCATTTTTTATTTACCTTCACAAGGTTCAAATCTGCCAGCTAATCAGATGGGTTCAAAGCAATGCAGTCTGGGGTTTCCTGCCACGCCTTTAATGCCGGTGTCTGCTGTATTTTAATAAGCAGTATTGAGCCCAGCTGGTGTGACCTATGAACCAGGAGGTCATGGTTTGATTCCGGTCAGAGCACATTCCCAAGTTGTAGGCTCGATCCCCAGTAGGAGGCGTGCAGGAGGCAGGTAATCAATGATTCTCATCATTGATGTTTCTGTCTCTCCTCCCTCTCTGACATCAATAAAAATTTTAAAAAGTAATAAGCAGGTATCGAATGCCCAGTGTCCCACGGCCACTGCTCCAGGGGCTTGAGAGTTGCAGGTCCACGTGAGAGCAGTGGGAAGTATTTAAAAGCAAGTTCTGTAAATGAAAGCAATCTTCCTGCACATTTACTGAGCTATGGAAGTGATCAGACTCACTAGGTTCAGAAAAGAAAAATTAATCCCAAATCCTGTTCTCAGTGACAAATTTGTCAAGAGGGGAAATAATTACCTCATTGGAGTCTCACCTACTTGGTTCTCTGGAACTCGAGCTGTATCAGCCTTGGGTTAGCAGGATATTGCGAGAGCCGGCCAACTTCCTAGAATGATCAGCTCTCGCAATATTTGAACACACAACAGACTCACTTGCCTTAACAAGTAAATACGAGTGGATTACAGCAAAATGTGTAAGGCCTTTCATTCTGAAAAATGCCAGTGACCAAATATCAGGATGAGACGTCAAGCCCCTCTCGTTCACCAGCTACTGCATAGTTTCTGTGCAGGGGTTCATTTCAGGGCCAAATCCTCTTATTTTGTGTCTTGGTTTTGCTTTTTGGTCAAGGTGATTTTTCCTAAGAAAAGGCATGCAAATTGGAGCATTCTGATCTGTATGGTGAACTTGGGTCAGCCCTTCAGTTTGGGGAAGAGCTAGTACCAGGCCTTTGCTAAGGTGATGGGGACCGTGAGAACTTGCATGGGTTGAAGTGGGCCTTTTTCTTTCCCGGGAGCCTTGGGTTCAGATTTTATCTCTGTCACTTTACCGTGTGGTCTTGAGCACATTTGTCTATCCTTTTATACTTTTTCCAAATATATACAAAAGTTCTATAATGCAATAGAAGCAGTGGTTGCCAGGGGCTCAGGGAGAGGAGAATGAGGAGTGACTGCTAAGGGGTATGGGGTTTCTTTTGGGGGTGATGTTCTGAAATTGGATAGTGGTGATGGTTGCACAATTCTGTGAATATACTAAAAAAATATACTGAATTGTACTCTCTTAAAGGGTGAATTTGTGGTGTGTGAATTATATCTTAATAAAGCAGTTATTTTAATTGAATGTCAACAGTATAGAAAAATGAATCCCCATATACCCATCACTCAGACTCCCCAATTTTCAGCTCATTGCCAATCTTGTTTTACCTATACCTCTATTCACTTCTCCTTTCTTGAATTATTTTAAAGCCAATTTCAGAAATACTTTCTCTGTATTTCAGTATCTATCTCAGAGATAAACCTTTTTTAAGCACAATTTCTAGCATCATTACACCTTAAAATAGTAACATTAATTACCTAATATCACATATCTAGTACCGGTGTTCAAATTTCCTTATCAATGATTTGTTTTGAATTAGAATCCAAATGCACATAGATTGTGAGTTGATGTGTCTTTTAAGTCTCTTAATCTTCAGATTTCACCTTTGTCTTTTTTCCTCCTTTGCAGTTTATTTATTGAAGAAACCAGTTTGGTTTTTTGGCCAAATCTCTATCTCTCGCTCTCTCCCCAAGGGTGAGGGATGTGTGACTTTTGTTTTAGAAAACGGTGAGTTGTAGATAAGGGACATTTGGACTGAGCCCCTCCACTCTGGAATTTTTCCCCGTGGGTATATGCAGGGAAGCATCGAGTGTAGGATTCATGGATTCCCACCAGAAACCTGAACCTCCACTGTCTGGAGGGCTCAGCTGCATCTTCCCCCTCAACGCTGCCTATGTCCCCCTCGCCCAGCCCCTGACAGAGCCAGAAGAAGCAGGAACGAAGACACACCAACATTTAATCCAAAATATCGGCTGTTTCGGTGCCCTTTGCCCTGCAAGTGTCACCAGCCACCCACATTGCAGTATGATATTCTGCTATTCTAACACTCTTATCTGTAAGACTAGTAGGATCAAAGAACTTCCGCTAGTCCCCACTGTTGTAACCTCAGCCTTTATGACTCACTGCTCTTTCAGATGAGTCTGCTTGTTTTCCTTAAATGGAACTTGCTAATTCCATCATTTTTCCCCAGTTTGCGTGTTAATGGTGTCCCAACCAGACACGAGCCCTGCCTCTAAACCGACCTGCCCGCCTGGCTTCTCACCTTGCCTTCCTCCTGCAGCCTTTCCGAAATGACCCCCCTTCTCCCATCTCTGCCCTCTCCACCCACCTCCGCTTCAGCCTGCCCATCTCCCTTCATTCTGCAGGGTCACTGTTCCTTCCTTGTTGTCAGCTCCCGTCAGCAACACATCAGTTACTTGGTCCAGGAAGTGAACTTCCAACAACGATAACAATTTAAAATATGGATTGTCTCTGCCAGAAGTCGGTCCGCTATTTTCGTGGCAGCTCCTTCCGGGTGCTCAGACTTGTGGGGACTGCACACTGGGCATGCAGCCCACACGCCAGTGAGTGTCATCACCGGAAGGGAGCAGAGAGGCGGCTTGTTGGAGGTGGAAGGGTGGGTTGGTGGGACTTAACAGACAATATAATTCTATTGCTATGGGCTCAGCATAGCCAGGTGCAGTCAGCACCCAGGAAAGGTGACCATCAAGTGTTGGGTGCAAAGACCAGGAGGTAGGCATGGAGAAGCGTGGCCCCGAGTAGGGAGAACCGTGGGGACAAGGTCCTTTAGGGCCGTCCCCGGACTTGTTTTCTCCTGGCCGTCACAGGACGGTGTTAGGGGCAGGGAGGGGGAACACAGACCGCTCTCGGAAGGTTGGGCCCGTGGCCTCTAATCGGAGAAAAGAGCTTGGTCTGCTTGGTGTGGGCTGATCCACAGTGTTCGAGGGATGAGCATGCTCTGCGCTCACACTCTGAGCTTTTCAAAGTAGGAACTTCCACCTACAAAGCAGAAGAGTGTTGGTGGGTTTTTTCTTTTGTGGTTTCACACAGCGAATGTATGACAATCTCTATTTATAAGCGAAGTGAGCCGTTCGGGCACTAAGGAGCAAGTGTGGCCAGGATTTCTGGTCCCCCCTCCTTCACCCTTTCATTTTTCTCTTAGCCTGCTTTCCAGAAAGGGGGCTGCTGGGAGAGGCTGCCTGACAATTTCCCGCGCTGTCAGCTCCACAGAATTCCATTTCTGAGAACCTGCCCGGCGCATGCAGTGACATTGCGTAACCCGCCTCCGGGAGCGGGCAGCATTAGCCGTGGCACTCAGAGCGACCGTTTCACCCAACATGAGAGGAGCGAGCGGCATGGAAGGGGCGCCCAAGGTGAGTGATGGGGGCCTTCTGAGCGGGCAGGGGGCAAACAGCCGGCAGCGACCAGTTTTTGTTCTGAGTTTAGTGTGTACTAGTAACATGTAAGTTTGCGATGGGAAGGTTTCATGTCAGTTTAAGTGTACAAAGTACTTCAAGCTCCTTACCAGTTTGACTCGGATGAAAATTACTTTCTAGCAGAAACCAGCTTCTGGGGTTGGTAACACAGTCTATCCCTTTGTGTCCATTCACCTTCTAACAAACTTCTTGAGCGAGTGAGACCTCAGCTCACCCCGACCTCTCCTTTCTCGGGACCCCGAGCACACTCAGTGTCACTCCCGTGTCCTGAGGATCCTGCGCTCCTGCCCCACACCCGGGCAGTCACTGTGGGTGCTCCCCCTGCACCTTCACATTAACTTCGGTATTGATCTGTGTGAGCGGAGCTCCAGGCTGGGACTTGAATCAAAAAAAAGTCACTATTTAGGGAGTAGAAATGACTACAAAAAAAATAAACTTGCTCAGATATAAGGAAAGTGAAGCTCAAGGGTTACTTTGCTACACCTTTAAAAAATATAAGTAGAACAGGAAAATAAGGAAATGGAACATTAAGTGGCGAGTCTTCTTATATGAATTAAGTATATGTTACTTATTATTCTAATAACTAGGTGTGATTCGTGGAATGTATAGCTGAGTAATGCATGACATCCTCTCTTATGTAGGTCAAGTGTAAATATCTTAGCTAGAATATTGTACACAACTATTTTCTTTGAAAATGTTTTAAGCCCTAACCAGTTTGGCTCAATGGATAGAGCATTGGCCTGTGGACTGAAATGTCCCAGGTTTGATTCCAGACAAGGGCGTGTACCTTGGTTGCGGGCACATCCTCAGTGGGAGGTATGCAGGAGGCAGCTGATCAATGTTTCTCTCTCATCGATGTTTCTAACTCTCTATCCCTCTCCCTTCCTCTCTGTAAAATATCAATAAAATATATAAGAAAAAGAAAATATTTTAACCATGGGGAAAATAATAATTTAGTAAACCCCTGCATATCCTTGACTGAGATTCACCAATTCCAGCATTTATTTTATACTAGAGGCCCAGTGCACGAAATTCATGCATGGGTAGTGTCCCTAGTGTCTGCTGGCTGCTGGCCGGGGCCTTCCTTCATTCCGTGCCACCCCCTGGTGGTCAGTGCACATCATAGCGAGCGAGCGATTGAACTTCCAGTCGGTCGAACTCCCCAGGGAGTTTGCATGTTAGGCTTTTATATATATAGATGTTTAGATACTGGCACACAGTTTTTGTCAACCATTTGAAAACAAGTTGCACCTATAATGACACTTCCCCACATCTGCTAAAAACAAGGACATTCTCCTACACAACTCCAATATCAGTGTCACATCCAAGATAAATTACCATCGAATTAATAATTCCATCCTAACATTCAGCCCACATTCACATTTTCCAAAAAATACCCTTTCTGGCTTTTTTGGCTGTTATTTGTTTGTGTGTGTATTTTTCCAAGACCACATGCTGTGCTGTTTGTCAACTCTCTGTCCTCTTTAATCAAGAATAACCCACTGCTTTTTGTTTTTTTCATAACATCAATTTTTTTTTACTAGCCCAGATGTTTTATGATTTAGATTTCTTATGTGCCACCTATTCTGCCTAGGTAATCTCTATAGCACTTGGTAATTTGTAATTAACATGTATGTGTGCATATAACTTATATTTGATGCTCCCAGCATCGCCATAAAGCCCTATTATGAATATTATAGAGATAATAATAACTGTCGCTTTCTGGCTGTCCATCCACCAGGCCTGCTACACGTTCCATTACATCCTCACATCTTCAGGAAGCGGAGGTGTTATTCTTAACCCCATTTTACAGACGAGGAAAGTAGGGTTCATTGACTTGCTAAGGCCACACACTAGTGAGTGGAATGCCAGGAGTCAGACCCAGGCAGACGGAACCCAGAACTCGGCTCTTAACCAGCTCACTCTCTCCCGACCCTCAGACCAGCAGCTGGCAAACTTTTCCTAATGACCCAGATGGTATTTTATGCCTTGTGGGCCACCTACAATCTCTGTTGCATTTTCTTCTTTGTTTTCACAACAAACACTTTAAAAATATAAACTCATTCTTCACTCTCAGATCAGTCTTCCAGATTTGATTGACAGGTCATAGTGGCCAACCCATGTCTTTCTTGGATGCATAGCGTCTCAGCTCATGCCGGCTACTCCGCCCAATGGTGGAGTCTTGATCCTAGTCCAGGGACACACTCAGGGGACAGTTTCCTGGGTGCACCTACACAACTGTCAGAGCACAGAGAAGGTAATATATCTCTGAAGGCTTTTCACAGACATGAGCAGTTACTGAAAAGGGTTGAGCTTCTTGCCTTTTGCAATGAAAAGTGCATGTTAGAGTTGCATTCATGTTAACCATTGATCCATTTCGTTAGTTTTCCTTTTTAATATGTTTTTTCATTAATTTAGAGAGAGGAAGGGAGAGGGAGAGATAGAAACATCAATAATGAGAGAGACTCATTGATCAGCTGCCTCCTGCACATTGACTTGCCAATCCCCCTACTGGGGATCAAGCCCACAACCCAAGCATGTGCCCTGACCAGGAATCGAACTGTGACCTTCTGGTTTATGGATTGATTCTCAATCACTGAGCCACACCGCACAGGGCACCTGATTAATTTTAATGCCTGATTTGTTCAGTTGCTGTTTATATGGTAACGCAGTGCTTAAAAGGGCTGTCCTATGGAAGTGATGCCTTGGGCTTTACAGCAACCCTCGCATCCTGGGGCAGCCAGATGGCCCTTCTGATCCTGACTGGGCTGTGTGCACCAGATGGTGGCAATGGCTGCTGTTTCAGCTGTTCCCTGATGTTGCTGTTGCCAACGAACAGTTCCACGTCGGCAGAGCTTCCACCCTAGTGTGGAGCAGATTTGTAGAACTGACTTTTATTATATTTTCCCCCAGTTGTCTTATAAAAAACAAGGGGAAAATGGAAGAGTAGACATGATGTTAGTGATAGGAAACGCCGGCCTCAAACGGTATGGTTGCAACTAAGATAGGCATCATTACACGTGGCAAGGGGGTAAATCTCACCTGTCGCTCACGGGCTTGTTGTACTGTAGCTGATGGCTTCCCTGTCGAACGCCAATGCAGAAATGCTACAAAATTAGGTCTAAAACACAAGGTGAATGAGTGACTTTATTGTATGGAAGTCCTTGTTTTGGATTTTTGGTCATTGGAAAAGTGATTTTTGTCTGAGTGTGTGTGTGTGTGTCCACACACACACCCCATTAGAGGCAATCTTGATCTTTATGCACAGACATCTTATCTCACTGGGGCAAATGTCCAGGACTTGAAGGAGGATTACTGAGGTGCTTCATCTGAGAGGAGGAGCCCTGTCAGGCTCCCCTTGACCTATAGCAGCTCTGAGATGGCAAGCAAAACATTTTAAAGTCAGTCGTTGTCCAAGAAGGGTCCGTGGGACCCTGCGCAGAAAACTAACTCACCGTGGCCCACAAGGCCCTGCATGGAGTGCTCCTCTCTCGCCCGCCGTCTTGTCTTCACTCATCAGGATCTGAATTTGTCTCCCTTCTGGAAGGTCAGCTCCATGAGGGACACTGGGCTTTCCTGGTCAGTGCTTAATCTCGGTGCCTAGAGCAGTGTCTGCACATAGTAGGTACTCAGTAAGCACCTTGTGTTGGGTTGTGTGTGAATGAATGGGAGGTTATAGGACAGTGATGGCGAACCTATGACACGCGTGTCAGAGGTGACATGCAAACTCATTTTTTTGGTTGATTTTTCTTTATTAAATGGCATTTAAATATATAAAATAAATATCAAAAACATAAGTCTTTGTTTTACTATGGTTGTAAATATAAAAAAATTTCTATATGTGACACGGCACCAGAGTTAATTTAGGGTTTTTCAAAATGCTGACATGCCGAGCTCAAAAGGTTCGCCATCACTGTTATAGGAAGTACAGATGGAGCCCCTTCTGACACAGCCCGTCCAGAGGCGGGAACTTCCTAGTTATCAGTCGTCATCCATGACTCTCAGCCCTCTGACCCTACCTGGCCTCAGCCTGAACTTCCACGGAGCCTAGATTTCTGAGAAAAGGCCCCTTGCTTCCCCCGTGGTCAGATGTGGCCTTGGATTTGAGCTTTTGTAATTGAAGTCAAGGTCACGAGGACCTATGGCTTCATCCCTTCATCCACTTCCCAAGGCAGAATATCCCAGGCATAATACCCAGCTAGAAAACACAACTCGCTGTCCGTTATAGCCATCACTCACACATAGTTATTGGGCTTGGAGGTGGGGTGATCAACACAGAGCAGACATTCCGTGGGGACATATAAAGTCACTAAAAGACTAAATGGGCACACCGATTTCAGGGGGTGAAAACGCCTTAAAGAACATAAAACAAGGTGCTCTGATAGAGGTAATGGGCAGAAAGGGCTTCTCTGGAGACCTGAGTGATGGGAAAGGAGCAAGTAGAGGGAACAGCAAATGCAAAGGCCTGAGGCAGGAGTGGATTCAGCAGAGCAGAGTATCCATAACAAGGTCAGTGTCGTTGGAGCAGAGTACACAAGGGGAGAGAATGGCCAGGAATGAGGTCTCGGGCAAGCAGGGTCAGCCTTGTAAGAACTCAGAAATGCATTCTAATTGCAAAGGAAGCCACCGGTCTATTTAAAGCAGGAGATGTCATGATCTGATTTGTGTTTGTGAGCGCTTACTCAGGCTGCTATGCAACCAGAGCGCTGTGGGCGGGAAGAGCAGAAGCAGGACGGGGACCAGGAGGCGTGCAGGTGCCTTCCTTGTCCATTGTGGGTGGTCCCAGGCTGTGCTCAGAGGACACGGAGAACCACTCTCTTTTGAAAAAAAATAAAACGTTTGGTGTTTGAGCTGGTCAGGAGATGCGAGCAGAAACAATAGTAAAGGAAGGTGTCAGTAGCATGTATTTAACAACGTGTGCTAGCTACCTTTTTATT